CACACACACACACACACACACACACACACACACACACACACACACACGTGTATATACATAAATGTGAAAAAGTTTTATATGTATTTTTGAACATTCACATCACACAAAAATGAGCTCCTGTCACCAGTGAATATGAATGTAAAGTCTGATGTGCTTCCTTCTCTAGTTAAAACATCTTAAACGTGTAAAGACAGCAAAGACGAGCCAATCAGTGTCTGCTACTATTGATTAGAAACAAAATACTGATTTTTCAATGCATAGAATGTGATGCATTCAAATGCAAGAATATTTCAATCAATTAATTTTAGCATGTCACCTAAGAAACTATCCTTCAGAAGGTTTATTATTTTATCTCTTTTATTATCAATCGGTTAAATGGGGTGGGCGTCATCTTTCCACCACGAATGATACATGTGTCATTTTGAAACTCTGTTCCTCTGCAGCCCACGATGTCATGAGTGTTAAAACTCAGGCTGTCAAACACAATACTGTGCATTTGAGCCTTCAGAAGTCATTAAGATTGTGCAGCGCTGCACAAAGACTCTCTGCAAACAGAGTCTGTTCAGTCAAAGTAAAGAAGGAATCATGTCAGATGAGTTAAATGGTGACATTTAAAAATAACACAAACATACTCCGATACTAACGCACACACACGCATGCACACAGAGCAGGAGTGAGAGACAGGCGGAGAGGTGAGGAGCACAGGATGGATGGTGTGTCACCGTGGAAATGGACAGTCGGCTGTGGTCATTGGGGAAGCAGCCTAAAGAGGGGGGGGGGGGGGGGCCTCATCTCAAAACTATCCAAAGAGGAATTTTTGGTTAAATGGACTTTCTTTCTGCAGTTTGTCTTCTGCAATTTTCTTTTAAATACTCCTTCATTCTTCGACATTTGTTGTTTTTAACACTTCTTGTTTCATGATTCAAGCATTTAGAAATATCTTACTGCTGAACAAGAGGCTGCAGAGTCCAATGTGAATTTGACAAGCAACAGTAAATCCATGAAGATGAGAGTAACAGTAAAGCGCACACTCTATTAAGAAAAAATAAAAAGCAAAAGTCAAAGAAAAATGTTGTTATTCAGTCTTTTAAGGAGTTAGTTTCTCTCTTCTCTGTTTTGAGACGAGGGCTGCTGCTGTGGTGGCTGATGGGTAACCAAGGTGCATCATGGGAGACTACGTCTGATTGATGGCAGTAAAGAAAAACTGAGAAACACAGCCCTGTACTGCTGTGTCCAGTGAGACACACACACACACACTCACCTTCCGCCGTCTCCCCACTCGCTCTGCTTCCCTTAGAACTCCCACCTCCTCCCTCTGTACCTTTTCCCTTCTCCCTTTCTCCGCCTCTGCCGTCATCGTCCCAGCCCTCCTCTACTCCTACTCCTACACCTCCTCCTCCTCCTCCTCCACCAGGCCTTTCGTCATCCTCCTCCTCCCCTAAATTCTTGTAGTTTGGCCTCTTCTGAGTTCTCTTGCGGCCGCGATGGCGGGACAGTTCTAGGGAGCGCTCCAGAGACTCCGAGGGCTTGGTGAAGCGACGCACACCTCCTGCACTGGCCTGAGGTTTAGAGAAGGAAAGAGAGGCAAAGGTGTGAGAGGGGAGGAACTCGCATGTCTGGAAGTGACACTCACATGGTATTATTCTATCAACTCTACATTTTGTCTGAATCCATTCTTGTGATCATGAAAGTCCATGATGTCCTTTCAAAGATGTTTTTAGTTCAAATAAAGCAGTGGCCGTTCTGTGACTTTGCTTTGTGGTTTTTAACATATATGGTGGCGTCACAGTGGCAACACAGCACCAAACCTCCCAGCATGTGCTGAATACAAAACAGAAAATGGTTCAAAACGAGTAAACGCACAGGATACCTAGAAAAAAACAACTGTCCCGTTTCCAGGCAGCAACGTCTTTGCCACCTTTTACTGGCAGACAGGCAGGCAAAGAAAAAAAAAATTTGACACACATTAACACAAAAAGACACTTTAATAACGGATGTGCCTAAATCGTATCGCACATGCTCACAACCTCCAAGCCTTACAGTAAATCCATCTAACACTATCCTGCTGATCAAAGTTTGTTAACACACAAAAGCCTCTTCCTCCCTGATACACTTCATCAGAGAAAATGAACTTTTGACACACACACACACACACGCACACACACACACACACACACACACACACACACACACA